TTTTATCGGTTGAATTTCAACCGCTGGGCGAACACTAGTTATAATAAAAACCTTTGCATATATAGCGAAAAATTCACTGTGCCAATACTTTTGTTCGTCACTGTATGTATATACATATGTACATCCTTGCAGCATTTTAATTAAACAACATTTTGTTTAAAAAAGCCTTTAGCAATTTGCTTGAATGCATTTATCACGAAAACATATCTCATTGTCAAAAGCCTGCAAAGCNATGGTTATGTTATGTTATACCAAGTACTAAGCTAAACTCCCCTCCACTTAACCCATTCCAACTAATGTTATTTTAGCTCATTCAACTTACATAAACTATCCTTAATTTTATCGGTTGAATTTCAACCGCTGGGCGAACACTAGTTATAATAAAAACCTTTGCATATATAGCGAAAAATTCACTGTGCCAATACTTTTGTTCGTCACTGTATGTATATACATATGTACATCCTTGCAGCATTTTAATTAAACAACATTTTGTTTAAAAAAGCCTTTAGCAATTTGCTTGAATGCATTTATCACGAAAACATATCTCATTGTCAAAAGCCTGCAAAGCGTTGTCAAATAGAGATTTCGGCTATTTGAAACTTTGAAGCGCTTCAAGCAAGTGAAGTCAAGCTGCCATTTGGCCAACTTTCATACATTTTAGTAGAGTTCAAAAACTGTTTGACAAATTTCAAAGCGAAGCAAGCAAAGCAAGCCTACATTGGGCCAACAATGCCTTAATAGTTAAATTTACATTTCTTGAAATCTGAGAAAAGTTAATTGCAATTTCTTTGGATATATACCCCGTTGTCAAGTTTTGACAACTTATCTTTTTCTTATTTAATTTTAGTTATTTTTTATAAAAATATAGTTTATTCTTTAACAAAGACCGACTAAATCCAAGTTTCAAACTATGTCTTGTAGCCCACTCAATTTTAATAAAATAAAGCGCAAGTTTGAAGTAGCCAGAACTTACCGTTGATTTTTGTAATTTTTTTTTTTGTTGAAGGTATTGCTTATTTTCTGCACATAAATAAATCATCGAACACCCTTCGGCACTCGTCTCCAGAAGTGTGGCGAAGTGCGAGGCAGCTCTGGATTTGGTACATACTGGTACTGAGATACATTTGTACTGGGTTCCGGAGCACACCGGCGTTGTGGGCAACGACCCACAGGCTTACCAAAGAAGGCGCGCTGTCGGAAACTATGCTGTTAGAAGAGGTGCCTATTTTCCTCCAAACGATTAAACGGGAGCTCGACATGTCCATGATCCGGAGGGCGCAGAAGGCGTGGACCAAAATGCAAGGCTGCAAGGTGTCTAGGATTATTTGCGGAGCGTATGACATAAAGCAAACGAAGCTTCTCCTATCTCTCAAGAGGGAGGATGCTAGGCTACTGATGTGTGTCCTAAAGGGACATTGCCTGTTGGCATCCCACGCCTTTAAACTGGCTCTGACAAATGATAAAATGTGTAGATGCAGAACGAAAGAGGAGACAGTGGAGCATATACTACGTGAGTGTCCTGCCCTTAGCAGACTACGATTCAGTCTCCAGGGAGCAGGCTTCCTGCCTAACTTGGAAGCCACTGCCAAGGTAGGGTACAACTTTGCTCCTGGCGCTCAGTGATTAACTGTACAATAGGGTCGTCGTTTATATAGTAACGCTATGGACCGTAATGCCCTCTGCGAAGTCGCGCAGTGGCTAGCCAGCTTACCTATCCTAACACTTCGTATGGAAAACAATTAAAAAAAAAAAGTCCTAGCTACATATATCAAACTTGCACTTTATTTAAAAAAAAATTTAATGGGCTACAAAACTGCGCACGTTTTCCGGATATGAAAATTGATGATAACTGTAGGAGTTTTTTGTATGCGTTTCGGATACGGAAAATTGAACAAAACTGCACTGTCGGCAAAATTTACGTTTCTTTGCTGGCTGGGTAAGTACGTTATTGACAACATATGTAGCTGTGGCAAATTTCAGGCCGTTAGCATAAGCGGTTCCAGAGATAAGCGATATGAAAACTTAATTTTGTATGGGGGGTGCCACGCCCTTTTACAATACCTGCCACTTTCCCTCGTAAGTACGGTATTGATAACGGTACGTTATGATAACGTATTAGCTTAAGCAATTCCAGGGATAAGTGTTCTGAAAAGTTCAGTTTGTATGCGAGGTACCGCGCCCGCTTTCCCAATACCTGCCACTTTTCGCTGAAACTAAGGTATTGATAACATATGTGGCTGTTTCAAATTTAGGACGTTAGCATAAGGCGGTTGCAGAGATAGACGATATGAAAAGTAAAGCTTGTATGGGAGGTGCCACGCCCCCATTTCCAATATCTGCCAATTTTCGCCATAAGTAGCGTATTTACAATTTATGCATACGTGCCAAGTTTCAGTTCAGCAGCGTAGTTGGTTTGAGAGATGTATTGGTGCGCTCAAAAAAGGGGTTTCACCATTTTATTGTGACGTATGTATATGTATGTATATATATCCATCATTCTGCCACTGTAAAAGAACGTCAGGAATATCCCGACCCCAGCGCCTCCTATCGTGTAATTTTTTAGTTCAAATATTCCTTTTCAATTGGCTAACAAATGTTCTAAATATGAACCAAATCTGCAATTAAATGCAGTTTTTAGGAATATCCAGCGCCACCTAGCGATTAAATTTTAGTCGGAATATTTCCCTTCAGGGTGCTGACATATGTTCCAAATAGGAACGAAATCGGTCCAGCCGTTTGGTAGTTTAGTGACATACAATATACAGAAAACTCGTATGAAATTGCGAAATATTGACGTCTCAGCATTCTTAATTTTTCGCCAAATCTTTTATTTTAAAAATGTTATAATATAGTTTTTAAAACCAAAAACGAATATAATACCTTCAGAGGGTAATAATTAATAACACAAATCACTTATATAATAGTGATCTAGAAACAATTTTCGTTAAAAATACGCATACTTTTTAAAAATATTTGTTTCAACACATTTTGCAATAGGACTGGCGCTAAAAATTAAATAAAAATCTATAATAAGGCGAGATCAGCTATTTCCTCAATTTCTTCAAAATCACCTATAGCGTCTGAATGATTTACATTTCTGTTGTTGTCATATATTGAGCTATTCAACCTTGATAACATACTGTTTGATATTGGAAACGTTTTGCAGCAGAAACTATTAGCCTTCATATGGCACTTTATTCGAACTATTGAATTAAGGCTTTCCAACCTCATCCTATTTCGAATCTTAGTTTTTGTTGAATTCATTACGGAAAAAACGCGCTCAACAGAGCATGTGAGTGCCGCAAGGATAATAATATCAATTTATTTATATTTCCAAACATTTTATTGCCTGTTGCGGTTTTTACTCCGTAAGCAAGTATTCAAAATTCTTCAGAGTCGGATGGAATGGTTCTGAGAAAAGTTATTCCATGTGAAAGTTAAAAGATTAAAATATTCAGTTTCCGCTGCTCTTTTTTCCTTCAAAGTCAAATAGTGAAATGGCAGGGCCCTGAAACTCGCCCTCTTGTGATTCACACCCTTTTCTGGTGACAAAATCAAAGCTTTTTTAAAAGTAATTGATTGACTAGGTAATCATTTCAAAATTTCTTCTATTAGGGTGATTAAACATTTGTGATAGTCTTTTAATATGCTTCTTAAGTCAAGTTTATCACGCAGTTCATCAGCCTCTTCTGTAAAATTATCGTGAAAAATTAAGTTTTGAATATTTTTATAATTGGAAAAAAATTTATTTGAAGGGAAAAATCGTCAATGGCGATTTCCTAAATTTTTACGCGCAATTATCCAAAAATAATCGCCAAATCTGGACACTCTGCCACCATGTCAAACTATCGAATGTGCGAAAATGCTTTTTCAATTACGATACCTTGCGCATGCATTTAGGGTGATACGCGCTTTAACATAGTGCCGAATCCCACACTCTTTCCTAATGAAAACAACAGTTTCTTTGCTCTCCTGAAAAGCACCCATTTTCACATTCGATAATTTGACATGGTAACGACTATACATATATAGATAAGAAAAATTTGGTATGGAAAATATAAATAAAGGAACGTGAGGGCACTCATATTTTTGACGCTGACTGTATGTATGTATGTAATTGTATGTCGGCCGCTGTGGTGTAGTGGTAAGCAGTGCACGCTTCCACAGCGCAGCACCTGGGTTCAAGCCCTGGTCAAAGCAACATCGCAAAAATTTAGAAAAAACGTTTTTTCATAACAGCGGTCGTCCCTCGGCAGGCAATGGCGAACCTCCGAGTGTATTTCTGCCATGAAAAACCGCTTCTCATAAAAATAGAATCGCCGTTCGGAGTCGGCGTAAAACCGTTGGGCCGGCCCTCCGCTTTGTGTGACAACATCAAGGCGCACGCCACAAGTCGGAGGAAAGCTCGGCCAAACACTAACGTAATCTATTATTATTATTATTTACATATGTATATACATATGTAAGTACGGTATCATGTACTCACTCATTAGACACTGGTATCGATCTAAAATTGGTATACTTTTCATAGACGTTTTTTAGCAGTTGACTCGAACTTTCTATAACTTCTTTAGCGAATCCTTGTCCTTTTCGGTGGTAGGTAAGAACTTCTATTGGACAATGACTCATTTGTAAATTGCAGGTTTGAATCAATGACCAGCATAATGGATGTTCGCCATTTGATTTGAATAGTCCAGCTGGTCCCCGCAGTTTAAAATGGAGCGAGTTAACTTTCCTACGACCACCTGCTGTAAGGCCATTTCGCAGCGCCATGACGTATTGGAGGTACCCTGATAACGAAATTATTTGATTAATTCACGTTAGTGTTGTAATGGTATAACATTGTGGCCTACTACCTTCCACCGTAAAATTCAAGCGATTGTAGTTACGAACATCCGGCTCATTCCATGTCTCAAACCGCCATTGCAGAAGTTTCTTTGCCCCCAGAAGATCTATAGGACAAAATTTAATGCATATCGTAACCTTAATATAGAAAGGCCCTACCCAATATGTGTGTGTGTCTTTACGGAGTAGTTACAGAACTTTATAAAAACTTAAGTTCTTAAGTTGGATTTTTTTTTCAAAATCCTGGGTTTTAAGAAACTGGGAATCTAATCTTCAAGACCACTGGGGGGATGTCAAAAGATGCCTGTTAAAAGCGCAACCCTTAACATTAAGTTTAAAAGGTCGCGCATCGTGGTTTTCTATTTTCCATATAAATTATTTGGAAAAAAAAAGTGTTTTCATCTTTGGAATTTGATTTCTCGGCTATATATTATCGAACTAAAAAGTGCGATACATATTTCTGTAGGAAATTAGATGCTCTACAAAAAACTTCGCATATCATTTTTTGATAAACCTACTGGGTTAATGCTAATTCAAACTAACAAAACTAACAAAATAATTAAAATTATCTTCAACTATCCAGAAAAGAAGTCATTTAAAAATTGAAATTGTAAAGCAAAATAAGTATTCCAAATTAATTGTAATAAAAAAACCCCATTTCGGGGAAAATTAACTAAAATCTCTTCTTTTGTATTGAGTTATGTTCGGAAGTTCGTTTTAAATTTTTTCACTAAAAATGATTTTAGTATCTTTTTCTAGCAGGGAATTACATTTTCCAGGACTTTTGTAAAACATTTTGCAATATTTAATGATAATTTTAATTATTTTACCTTAAATAGGAATACAACTGTAATAATGACATAAATTTAACTTTCGAGTTTGAATAACCGTTAAACCAGCGTTTAATTTTCTACAAAAGTATGTATCTTTTGACATCCCCCCCCCCCGGAGGTATTTGTACAAAAAAATATTTCACAAAAATTCTAAATTGCCAAAATATATTTTTAATGAGAAAGTTTATTTTTCATAAAACGAAGCGATTGAAAACCATCTTTTGGAAAGTTCGCGTTACTTCTGGGGCACAAAGGCCGATTATGGTGCCTTGCAAAGAATGGATTGGTCTCGTACCGTATATCGCTATTTTACAAAAAACAGTAACAACTCAAAATGTTTAATGTTTTCAACTCCCTCCCAAAATGTGGAAACAAGAAATGTGTGTACATACATACATACATATTGCCGTCTTGCGCGGAAACCTACAAGATTTGATCACGAAATTTGTCTACAATATGAAGAAGCGCGATATAACAAGTAATTAATTCTGCATCGTTTGCTCAAAAATATCGGATTTTGCGTTATCAAAGTCTTTTTAAGTAAATGGGCGATATGTTAGTTTGTTTACTAGTTTAAAATTATACGTACTCAGGTAATGTTTAGTGACTTGATAGCTGAAATCTTGCCACAATGAACCTTCAATATCCGGATTACTCGCTAAAATACCATCCAAGTCTGTCATAAACTCAACAACTGGGAATAGACCCAGCTCGTCTAGATTTAAGATGAATGCATCTAAATCGGCGAAATCGTACATTGGCACTCCGGCTGTACTGTACTGAATAAATTTAACAAGTTTTAGCAGCCAGTGAATGCGTATGTGCGTTATCGCTCCGGCGGGTAGTGCTGTTATGTGCAACAGATTCATTTGTACCTCCTCGGAGAAAAAAACAGCCTTCAAACTTTCTCGTCGAATTTCTCCCATTGGACAAAAGCCTGTACTTGTCCAAAACCGTGGCAGTTCATAGTACGATTCTTCCTCAGTGTAGCTGTTATTTTGCAGAGGTTTAAATGCCAGCAGGTATAAAAGCAAAGTTCCAATCATTTTTACAGACCAACCGATTGATTTGTTTCACGCAAATGCAATTTGTACATAAATAAATACATACATATATATGTATGTATGTATGTATATATGTATGCATCATTGTACCATGTATATATGAAGAAAATATCATTAGAACAGCTGACAAGAGCTGATAAGAGAGACCTGCACAGTGGGGTAAAAATATAATTCTTCCCCGAAATAATATTTCAAAATTTCTTTAGCACATACATACATACATACATATGTAGGTGCATATGTCGTAAAAATCTTATTCAATAAATATATGGTGGATAACATCAACATTTAGAGCCTCAAATTTCGCATATGGAAATCATGTAAGGTAAGGTGTCGTGCACAGAACCGTGTGAACGCAGACCGCAAAACAGAAGCCGACACTTAATTTCTGTATGAAAAGCTAGTAAATATTTGCGTGGAAAAGTGATCGCATTATTTTTTCACCATAATGCAAAATCTGTAGGCTGTGAAAACTTCACTGCTGAAATCAGCATTCTCCAATGCTTGTTCTTCGGAAAATACACTCCCAGTTATTTGAATAGCCCACCATTTTGATCCTTGAGTATGAACCGTTTTCCTTTTGCTTTCTTAATATTCATCAATTTTTTTATACAAATTTAAATTTTCTACAAATTTAAAAAACATGTCAACAAAGGGGTGTGCTAGCCTTATGACCTGCGGTGTATAAGTTAATAATATTTTTAGAAAAATTTTGGGTATCTAGTTTTGTAGCCCAATTTTAGTATAATTTTAGTGGAAGTTTCAAGTGGCTACAAAATACCGTTGATTTTCTATTTTTTTTATTTGTTTTTTTGTCAGTGCCAAGCATTTTCTTCCATACAACGTATGCTCGACAAAATTTTTATGTTGAAGAAAATGCCCAGCCAGCACTGTCAACAAAAAAAATTGTGAAAAAGCAATCTTATTTTATAGCCAGCTGAAACTTGCACTAAGTTAATCACCCTAATTGTGAGTTTCGCCCGAGTGCCATTTACACGTAGAATAAGCTACATTTTTATAAAAAAATCAATCTGCCTGGTCCTGAGTTTCACTCAAAAAAAAATCACCTAAAGATTTTTCATCCGCCCATAGCAAATACATACATACATACATACATGGTTCGGAGAATATGAAACTCATCATAAGGCGCTGAATGAATATTAAACAAAAAAACAAAACTGTACATACTGAGCACGAAAAGGGTGTGCTATTCGAGCGACTGGGAGTGTAAGTGCGAACGAGAATAAAAAAACTCTACAAAGCTCACCGAAACCAACAACAACCACTTCCACTTCATGCTAAATTTTATTGCTGAGTATCACGCCTGTATAAAAGCGAATTAAAGACTTCATGTTTATGGAACTGCTTCTGAGTGGGAAAAGAACCGTGCTATAAGTACATTTTGGAAGCAACCAAGTCCAACTGATAAGACGCGGCCGAAACTTTACATGTGTGCTCTATTTCCGTTTCATTCGTATGCATTAATTCGTTTGTACCGAAAGTGTGTCTTCTGTGCATTAGTCCCCTTTCAGACACGTCAAGTCTTGAAAGCAATTTTTTTCGCATTCTCTTTTGTGTTTTCTTCACGCGTCAACTTTAATTGAATTCAAGTCCTTGGTTCTTTAAATGGGAAGCAACGAAAAGATCAAAAGAGACAAGAAAACTTGAAACGAATTGACGGTACGGAGGTATCTGTACTCTTCCCCTCTCTTCTCACCTCCTTCGCCTACGAACGAGCATACTTGAAAGCAAGACTTGACGTGTCTGAAAGGGGACTTACTTCGTATTCTAAGTTTCCGTATGAACAATTTCATAGTGCTGTTGTACAGATATGTCGCACACATTCGTCAAAAGTATATTAATTAAAAAATTCAGTTTGCCTGAATACGCAAATAATTAATTCAATGCTAATATGCATCACAGTTCTAAGGGAGGTTTTACCCCCGGTTTTTTGCAACAAATTACGACAAAATAATGCTTCAGCCTTTCCGCGAATTGTAATATAAGTGTACATAAGTAAATATGTACTAGAGGTTTACGCCGACAGGCTTTGCGGTGGCGGCGTGGTCAACTTCAAAAAGAATCCGGCGCGTCTGGAAACGCCGGCGCTACTGCCCATAAGGTAGATTCCAAAGAGCCATGAGGCTTCTAATCTTATCATGTCATCAGATTATAATTCTATTCATTTTGCATTCATTGAATTCAAATGTTGGGTGACTGCTGCTGATGGATGGGCGAACAGAAGAAAGTCTATATATTATATACATTAGGTTTCCCATCGAAAATGCTTTTTTTTTTGTTAATTTAAAGACCCTACCCCCTTATTTGATTCGTTTTTATGAGAAATATTATTGCCAATTTTTATAGATTTTTTAAAGGCCATTTAGAGGTTTAGGTCAGAAAATACGATTTTCAAGATTCATTAATTTTGACCATCGATAATTTCCACAATTTGAAAATATGTAGTACTAATGTACAAAAAAACGATTTTCGATGGGCACCCTAATATACATACATCTCTACAAATCCGTAACAACTATTTAAATTTAAAGGTTAAGTTATTGGGGTAACTTATGTCGCTATCAATAAATTTTTGCAATAAGCTTATCAACCGTTATGTTAAATTACGGAGTTCTTACGATTTTTTGCAGGTTATATATTGAAAATAAGGTTGGCCTACTTTTTTCCAAAAGTTTAACCCATCAACTCCCACCAGAACGGGCCTTTTTGGCCCACTGTTTGAAAAATGGCTTATAAATAGTTAAAATTTCCACTAATATACTAAGCGCCAAATTTTTCTAAGGAGAACAGAATGTAATGCAAAATAATAGTTATTTTTTTCCAAAAAGGGGGACTTTAAAAAATATTAGAAAATATTGCGATGCGCGGAAGCAAAACCTTCCTGGGGTTTGACCACTACTTAGGAATACTAACGTAATTTTCACACAGCCACCTAGTTCTTGTACACGTCTGTGGGACCCCAGAATGAAGTAACTTACGAAGGTAAAAATTAGCAAAAAAAATGTTTGCTTTTTATTAAAATTCTGTTTAAAATATTAAAAAAAAAAACACACAGGAAAATCTACTAGTCTTTATTTTATTCAAAAATAAAAGAACCTCCTCCAAACGCCCATCATTGAGCCAAAAAAATTTCATAGATACAAATAGCTACAAATGTAGCTTTAAAAACATCTCAGCATGCTGCATTTTAATCTATTTTGGTATATTTAAATTAAAATTATAGTACAAACGAAAAATGTCATACGGCAACCATAGTCAGCACCCACTAAAGATAACAACCTGGAGATTAAAAGTAAATTAACGAAAAATAAACTCAACTAACGTTGTGCTTAATACATTTACACTTTTTCGTTGTATACTAGCATTAATACAAGAATTTGCAATAAATAACTCAAAAAGGCCATATTTTCTTTTGTTTATTTGCAAACATTTGTTTGTAATCAGCTGATTTTCTTACTTGCAAGTAAGATTCCGGGATCCCAGACACTTTTTCATGTCCTGAAATCCCGGGCTTACACAGCTCCGGAATCCCGATATTTTTACGGATTCATTTACAGAATAAAAGAGATGTTGAAAACGAAAAAAATAATTCATTTGACATAAAAAACTTGGTATACAGAACACCAAAATTTTGATGCAAAGTGAACTCGGAAGTGAATTTCAAAACCTGCCTGAATAACTTGTTCAAACCATTTGTGCCAAAATTGTGTAATAACGAAAAATCTGGTAGCAATTGAAAACACAACAAAATTTTAAAGTGTGGAAGGGTTCTTCCTCATTTTATTTCGTTGGCGTTTTGTGGAAAATTAATTTCTGAAGATATTAGTAAGGGGTTTTTACAATTAATGTAGATGTATAAAAAGACTATAAAAATATTTAGACATTAAATTACGGACTCTTTTACTAAGGTTTATTATGCTCCCTGTAAAACCAAAAACGGTGACAATGAATCTCTGTTAAATGCAAAAGTTTTGATGATGACGTCGAAATCCCGAAAAATCCCGTAATCCCGGGATTATAATTTTTTGCATCGCGAAATCCCGGGATTGTTAAAACGCTTCGGGATTGAATGCCCTACTACATACCTATTGTCCTGGCTAGTTGAATAGCGCCCTATTTTAATTCACAGCTTTGACAATTTTCCTTTTTTTATTTAATATCCCATACCAAAACGGACGGGGTTCACACTTCATGTGTTTGATTTGTTTAAAATTTTTAGGGTTGATGCATATACATAAATAATAAATAAATAAGAAAATATCTCGACAACGGGGCGAGGAAAAAATTTGAAAAAATCACACATACACACATCATAACTCTCGATAGTAATAAATATTTTTAAATTTTTTTTCTCGAAAAATGTTTCACATACACATTTTTTTATAGAAAAAATTAGTTATTAAGATATACCATTTCAATAAAATTAAAAAAAATCACAGTGGTAGCTCTGAGTATTGCGCAGTATTTAAGTATAGTATTATGGGGTGCACTCTACAATAATTTGAGTTGTGATTTTTTTTACCGAAGTTGATTTTTAATATTTTTTATGCTGACGGCTTTTTGCACTTTTTTCTTATGGAAGGAAATGCGCAAAACCGTTTTCAAAGAAAAAAAAAATTCGCCAGTTTTGCAATCGCTAAAAACTTTCTGTTTGTGATACTAAAATTGAATGGGCTGCAAAACTGCACATTCAAAAAAATTCTAAAAAATATTTAAAAAATTTGTAAATTTTTAATGTACTCATTTGAATCAACTTAGGAGTAAAAAAATTTCATAACTCAAATTATTGTAGAGTGCACCCCATAATACTATACATAAATATTGGGCGATACTCAGAGCTACCATTGTGATTTATTTTAAATTTTTTTTGACATGGCATTTTTCAAATATTATTTTTTTTTCAATAAATTTTTATGTGAAAATTTTTTTAAGAAAAACTATTTTTTTTTATATATATATTTTTATAGAGAATTTTAATGTGTGTTTGTGTGATTTTTTTCAAATTTTTTTCGTCGACCCATTGAGATATTTGGAAAACTGTTAAATCGATTTGTGTTTTTTTTTGTGCTGTGAGTGTTTATAATTGTATTGATCAAATTTCATATTTATTTATTATTTATGTTTATGCATCAACCCAAAAATTTGAAACAAGTCAAACACATGAAGTGTGAAGCCCGTCCGTTTTGGTATGGAACGCCCCATATATATGTACATATACATATTTTGCTAAAAGTTACATTGATTGTCCCGAACATAGAACGCAGTTGGCCAAAAACAAAGTGAAACGGTATCCATTTTAGCGAAATATGGAAATTTAGCGTCCACTATTCAGACGAAATGTCCGAGATTAGGCGTCTCAGAGTTCTGGGTTTCAAGCCCTACAGTATGATCATTGTGTATGGAAAACGAAGAATCATATTAAACACCTGCGCATATGCATGTTGCGAATCAAAGGGGCAGCCAATACAAGTTAAGTTTTTTCTAATCTGTAGCGCATTCTCTTTGCATGGCAAAACTTCATAATACTCTCTAATAACCACTTAGTGCGGCCAATTTTCGACCAGCCAATATGAAATAGTTAGTACACAGACTGTGTGTATTAAAATAACGTGGCAAACATACATAAATATATAAGTATATACATACATATATAAAAACCAAACATATGTACGTACTAAAACATTTGTAAATATGTATGTATTTATGCGCGAAATCCTTTCCTATTTAGCAATGCATACATATACAAACATACATACATACACACATTATTGTTAATTTGTGTAATGGATTTGGCTGCTTGCACAAAACCAATTACATCTATGAGCTTATTCCTAACTCCTATGTGATATAGATCATTTTTGATAACCAGCTTTATGATTAAATAAATATCCACACAGTACTTCTATATTTGTATACATTTGTGTATGAGAATACATACACATTTACATATATATCAGCGATCGCCAACCCGTGGCNTGTGTGTATTAAAATAACGTGGCAAACATACATAAATATATAAGTATATACATACATATATAAAAACCAAACATATGTACGTACTAAAACATTTGTAAATATGTATGTATTTATGCGCGAAATCCTTTCCTATTTAGCAATGCATACATATACAAACATACATACATACACACATTATTGTTAATTTGTGTAATGGATTTGGCTGCTTGCACAAAACCAATTACATCTATGAGCTTATTCCTAACTCCTATGTGATATAGATCATTTTTGATAACCAGCTTTATGATTAAATAAATATCCACACAGTACTTCTATATTTGTATACATGGTTGTTTATCCATTTGTGTATGAGAATACATACCCATTTACATATATATCAGCGATCGCCAACCCGTGGCATATTCGTCGGCTCGTTTTTCGTCGTAGAAAATAAAGGCCCGTAAATCTTGCGCAAAATCTTTTTCTTGAGTGCTCCAGGAGCCGCCTCATGCTTCTGCGCCATTTGGAAAAATCTTCTAAACCATGCCATTCAACATTGAAAAAACATAAATTTTTAAATTGTGGGCACAATGATTACTCAACCAGTGCTGCCACCAACAAATTTTTTTTCCTACCAAAATTTCCTACTAAGGCCAACCAAAACCTACCAAAACTTTTTGAAGCTTTTCAATTGTTTATCCAATGCCAAGTTTATTTAATAATGTAGATAACACAACATTTAGTATTTACTTAAACTGCAATTTTCAAACAGGTGACAACTGTAATTTTTTTCTTTTTATATTTTAAGTTAGACATCTAGCAATACATCGGTGAAAACTGTATCAAATTTCATGCATTAGTTTTCGAATACATACAGACAGACAGACAAAAATTCTAAAATTTTTTAATTTCTATTGCTCTAATAAAGACCCCTATATTAATTTTTCTTTAATATCTATGATTCCAACCAGTTAGTTCCAGCCTGTCGGTGTGCCATTAAAAAAGGGGAAACTTGAAGCCGCAAAGACATATTCAGACAATATTTGTTATATTTTCTATAATTTTACGGGCCATACCTACCCGTAGGTCTTATTTTATTCTTTAATATAAATACATATATGTAAGTAATATGTACATGTATGAAGTAGTAAGAACAATTAAGTAATTGCTTACCTTTTTGATAATTACGAATGACAGATTTCAAATTGTCACAAATTATTTCCGATGAGAATTTTTGAAAGTCTGCGTTTTGCGCTGAAAAAGTTATACTCAAAAAAGTAAACTTACGTTAATAAAATTAATTTAAAGGTGGGTGACACAAACCGGCGCTCCAGCTCTGAAAGTATTCAACTCGAAACCCGCGGGTGGTAGCAGCGGAAGAGGGAGGCCCCCACTGCGATGGAAAGATCAGGTGGAGAAGGACTTGGCTTCACTTGGCGTCAGTTGGCACAGAGGAGAAACGACTGGCGTGCTTTGCTGAACTCGGACGAAATCGCTTAGGCGGTTACAGCGCCAAAAAAAAAGAAGAAGAAGACACAAAATCACCAACACGGGTATGATTAGTGCCTTATAGAGTGTGGTCTTCATACGTCGAGAGATAACTTTACTCCATAATTGCCTACTCAGTCCAAAGTAGGTCTTGTTGGCAAGAGTGATTCTGCGTTGGATTTTCACACTGACATTATTATCGGTGTTAATGCTGTTTACCAAGTAAACGAAATTCTCTACTTTCTCGAAATTAGACTTCTGTCACTTTTATTTTGCATAAAATTGTCAATTTCGTAAAAAATGTAATGAAGTTTTCTTACTCAAATATAGCTTTATATGGCTTAACCAGCCAAATATAAGAATTGAATGTTCAAAAAACTAAATATTTCCCGCCGAAATCCCACTGTGCGACGCCTTGACAAGTTAAGTCGAGATTAAGTATAAATCACACTTTACATTCATACATGCATATTAGGAACGTTAATCCCGGGATCCCGGACTTTTTAATGTCTCGAAAATCCCGGGATTCTTGGCAAGTAATCCCGGGATGTTCGGGATTTGTAATTTGCACTGATGGCAATTATAGAAACTCCTTTTCTTGACCAGAGTTGGCTATATTTCTTTTTTTATTTTATAATTGATATTTTATTATAAATGTAGTAAATTTTAAACACAAATATCAATATATTCGCGAAACCATGGGACAAATATAGAAAATTGCGTTTTTAGTTTTTCACTCTGACGTCAGTAATTCAAAAATGATTTAAAAAATTCAGAGAAATGTGTTTAGAGAGGAAGTTTGGGTATAAAATTGATGAGGAAATCCTTTAGAATTCAAACAGATTCAAGTTTCTGGTACAGAAGGGCTGGTAAATATTGAAAATATCATTTTAAAATTTTATCCTTGAAATTTCGCAATATTTGTTTTTGAAAAAATTATCACCCCTATTCTGGTTGTCGTAAGTCGTTCGCATCGACAGTCGTTCGTTGAATTATGTCGTAAATAAAAACATTAACGGCAGATTTTAACACGTTTTCAATACTTCTTCATTTCGAAGAGATAATAGGAATAAAAATTTGTAGTGGATTATGTCACTGGTTGCCTCATAACGCCAATGAAAATCTCAAATTTCGACGAACGACTGTCGTTTCGACAATGGGAATAGGGCCGTATATGTTCAGGGCTTATATAAACTCGATTACATCCTCGAATTTCGTTCTTCAAACTTTGTCAGCTTAAAAATTACCCATTCGTCCTTGTGAATCCAAAAAATTTAAATTTTTTAAATTCTAAAGAAATTTCCTATAGCATTTATTACTCATATTTTTATTCTACATTGCATTGATTTTTTTTTTATAATTTTTGTTAATCATATCTTTGAAATTACAAAGTCCTTCAAAATAAACCTGCGGTCAGAGAGAAAAAATAAAAACGCCACTTTAAATAATAAAGTAGATTTCAAACCCATTTATTTATTATTTATTTCATGGTAGGAGAGCTTTTCAAACAATATAGAAGCAATTTTTTCGATTCAAGTTGTTGAAAAGTAATGAATATCTAAATCCCGGGACTAATCCCGGCATCCCAGGATTGTGACAACGCCATCCCGAAAATCCCGAGATCGGAAAAAGCCGACAAATTAACATCCCTAATGCATATGTATGCTCAATAGGGTGGTCCAAAAATGCATGTGAAAAAGTAAAGTCGGAATTTTTATGCTCTCACCTCCTAGGATTGATCTATACCGGTATTTTATATGGGAAAAAACAACTTTCCGTAGAAATGGTATAGAATTCTTGCAAACCGGAAAATATTGTACCCTAATGTACACTCGTGGCCACGCAAAACTTACGACCACTTTTTTTAATTTAGTAGAATTTTGTAAATTAAATATTTTTAAATATAGTTCAAACCGCAATAAAAACTATACATATAGAGTCCGACCGATTCCAATTTTTTTCAGGTACCGATGCCGATGCTGATTAATCGGCTTATGGGGAAAGAATCGGCCGATACCGATGCCGATGCCGATTCCATAAAAAATTACAAATAAATGTATTAATTCATAAAATCAGTACATTTCACGGCGTTATAAGAACTTATATGCTAGGTACGTATGTATGTATGTAATGTTTATTATTTTTTTTTTATAAAAGTCTAGCTGGTATACAAATAGAAAAATTCTGCCTATTTTCACCAAAATTTCAAACTTTTTAATCAGAATTTTGGTATGCAGTTTTGTAGACCATTTCATTGTAGTATAATGAAGTGCAAGTTTCAAGCTGCTATAAAATCCCGTTAATTTTTGGCAATTTTTTTTGGTTGGCAGTGTTCTCCATAAAAATAATTTTTGAGAGCTGTCTGCAAACGTTTTTTAAAGTTGGCTGTCGCTTCACCTGAACATTTGAAAAGAAATTCCAAAGAATCGGCGAAAAAGGGCCGATGCCGGTGCCGATGCCGATGCTCAATTTTGTGCCGATACTAGCCGATGCCGATTAATCGGTCGGACTCTATAGGTTTCAAACTCAAAGGTTTCAAACTTTGTGCAAAATTAAAAAAAATTAAAAATTTTATAAAAAATTTTAGGAAAATGCTGTTTAATGGCCCATTTAATTTTATGTAGTATAATAATGTGCAACTTTGAAGTGTTTCGAAATTCTCGGTGATTTTTAAACATATTTTCACCGACGGTCTTGGGTAGTTTTTTCCATGTAACTTTACGTACTTTTTATACGGGCATGTTTATGTGTAAATAAAGTGCACGTGTTGGTTGTAAGAGTTTGGGAGCCGCTTGTCAAAGTAGAAAAAAAGTACATATAGACATACCTACATATGTATGAATATATATCTGCTATGTATTTAAAAGTAGGTTTAAAATATTTGTGCTAATTTGTTGCGCGTACTATGGAGCACAACGGTTGGATTATTAGCATGCCGTACAACAAAGTGAGTCCATCAGAGGTGCAACATCATGGCACCAGTTGTAATGAATTTCTGCGGCAGACACCAAAGGATAACTCAATTTTCAAGGACATTCGAACCGTATTATTTATTTTGAAGGCCACGGGCCTATTGCCGATCTATGAGAAAGTGTCCAGCTACGAATTGGGTCCACCTTCAAAACTCAACATTTTCTATTCTTTTTTTGTTCGGGGCGTTGTGCAAGCATTTACTGTTTTCAATCTTTACAACCTTCTAACGCCTGGGTCCGCACAGCTCTTCTACTCCTACAGTGATACCGATAATGTGAATAAATGGATAGAATTTTTGCTGTGTATGTTAGCTCATACGACGACTAATATTATATGTGCGAAAAATTCAAAATCGTTTCTACAAATTTTCAACGAAATTTTAAAAGTGGACGAAGATGTCTTTGTCCAGTTTGGTGCCACGTTGGAAAACGAGTGCGACTTTTCACTGAAATTTATTGTGGGTATTTGCATTTGTCAATGGTATTTAATGATACTACGCGTCCTAGATGCTGAGGATCCGCTTACAGCCAACTCGTACATTTTCTTTGTGTTCAATGCAGTGCAGAATGGCATGGCAACGGTTTTTGTTGTTTTCGCAGCGGCTTTGTTAAGAATTGTGAAAGTGCGATTTGCTCATCTCAATTCGATTCTCGAAGGCTACTCATACACGCAGCAACTGAAGCTACGCCGTTTAGCAAGACGTATTGCTCGTGGTCCTACGATGGAGACATTCCCGGAGGATTCTTTATTTACGTATCGTATGCACAATAAGTTACTACGCATCTATCGTTCAATCAACGACTGTTGCAGCCTGATTTTGGTAGCATATATGGGCTATGCTTTCTACACCATTACCACCACTACGTACAATCTATTTGTGCAGATTACGACTCAACGAATTATATCATTAAAAGTGTTGCAGTTTTGCTTTGCATGGCTGGCGATGCACACTTGCGTTTTGGCACTGCTTTCGCGCAGCTGCGGACAAGCCACGGATGAGGTGAATATGATTTTCAGCATTAAATATTTTCTGCTCTGAACATTCAGTTCTTTGGAAAGGCTAACGGAACATCGCAGGTTGTGGCTCGCGTCTACGGAAAATCTAAGGATTATCAAAATATTGTAAACGAGTACAAATGCCATGTCGTTCGTTTGCTGCAAGAAGGTCATAACTCGAACCATCAAAAATGTGAAAAACCGCTTTTAGTCAGGGGCCTAAGAGTTATAAGTTTTTCACAAATCGCACACCTAGATCTAAAGTGCGATGAACTCAAAAAAAAAATGTTGGGCGATTTTTTTGCATAAATCAATTCATAGCACTTACACATCCAATTAAAGGAAATATGTTTTTCTTCATGATAATATACATTAACTAAAAAACTACTGTTATACCTGTTCTTGTATTAAGTGCGTTGAATTTGTACGATTCACAAGCAGTTAAGTTTCCCTCTAAGAATTTTGAGTTATGTAGCTCCCTTAAGATCTAGGTGAGTGAAATTTTACCCATAACATTTAATAACCCTTTCCCAAGTATCACTTTTTACGTTGGCTAATAACTGAAGAGTTGCATTCCAACTTTAATTTGTATGTTTCATTAAGCTGCCTTTACACGGGTCGATTTCCTAGTCGATTTTTTCGTTTAACCAAAATCGACGGGCGTAAAAGGCAATTCAACCGTAAAATGTAAGTATTTTGGCTGGTCGATTTTCCAGTCGACAAAAATCGCAGCTTTATAGTTCAGATTGTTTTTATTAATCGACTTCAAAAAAAGGAGCAAGGTTATCAATCAGGAATCGAAAACATAAGAATTCGTCTATATAGTATACGGCTTTCTCTCGACACCGTGAATTACTTTGTTCGCTCCCCCAATTACGATCGCGAACTACCCCATTCATACGAGCATTCGATTTGACAGTCCTCTGTCTCTGAGGTAATTCGCTCTCAAAATTTTGTATGGCGTATTACGTAATTCGTAGGTAATTGCAGTGCGAATTGCGAATGAGAGAGCAAACGGCGTAATTGGGGTGCCGTAAGAAAGCCGTAGTAGAATTACTTAATTTTGTTTAGAAAACCGGTTTATTTACGAGGTTTACGCGTTTACGAGGCATTTACACGGTTAGATGAGTACCCGTATTATTTTTTTATCCGTATTTTTTGTAAAAAATAGCATTTAAAATTTGACTTTTATTTGTTCGATCAAAAATATAAAGTTTACTTTTTTTTCGTATCAAAAATAAAAGTTAAGATTCAATACCTGTGTCACCTTCTTGTAAACAGGATATATAATATAATATATAAGCAAATAAAGGATGCAATAAACAATATGAAGACCGATAGTAAGCTGTTATTTTTAATCGGAAAAAAATAAAAGTTAATTTTTAACTGTTATTTTTTATTGAAAAATTAACAGTTTAATGTTGACTGTTATTTATGATCGGAAAAATAAGTCAAATATTAACTGTTATTTTCAAAGTAAAAAAAAATACAAAATTGATCGAAAAAATTATCTAAAACATAACGATTTTATTAAAAAAAAAAACAGTAAATATAACGGTTACGGTCCCTGTTACTAATTCATTGGAATATGTTTTTTATGTAAGTTATCGGAAAACTTTGGACACGGTGAACCGTTTTCGATAATTTCATGGGTGGTCCCAGACTAATTTGGTTTAGTTCCGATCCGATTGGCTCATGAAGAAATCAACGGTAATCCTAAATTTGTATATGAGCATTGAAGACGGTTGTGGTTTTTGCTTAAGAATTACTTGATTTAAATCATTTTGCAAATTAATATATCGTTCAGGAGAAATGGTGTGAAAGGCAGAAAGTACTTTTACAATATTGGCTATTAATGCTTTTGCTTTGAACTACAAAAATTACTTTTTCGTTATTTATAGAGTGTTTCGGACGACGTGAGATATCTGAGACTAGATTCGATAAATATTGATATCGTCAAAAATAGAGATAGGATAGAAATTTACAAATATATTGATTGCATTCTAGTTATATACATACACATTTAGTTGCTAGCTATGCAGGATGGAAAATAGTAAAATCGTATGAAAGACAAATTCTCTTTTATCAGCCACAAAATAAACAAATCTTGCCATGAATTTTTTACACAACATAAAATGGTTTATGACATTCTAGCAACAAACGAGCGATATGTGTACATATGTATGTACATTATAATTAGTAATTACCGACATAAAATATGAAACTACTTGGTGGAATTTTTCCAGGTCGATAAATTTTTGACGAAAAGCATAAAACAAGAGGTGCAGTTCACCGCTTATGGATTTTTTGTAATTGACAACTCGACGCTTTTCAAGGTATTGCTTTCCGAACATTTTAATTAGGTACACCGAATTCATTTGTCTTTTCTCAGATTTTCTCAGCTGTAACAACTTACCTGGTAATCTTAATCCAATTCAAGCAGCTAGAAGATTCAAAATCAGATGATGATTCTACCTAGATCTAGAAATGTGAATTTCCCAATTAAATGTGCCTTTTCACAGTAACTATTATGTATTACCGTATCTTTTACTTCTTTATTAAATTATTCTACACACACACAATTATAAAAAATTATTCTATAAATATTAAAAATTGCAAATGCGCAGGGGCCGAACTCCTTCAACCTTTCGTTTAAAAATAATTAAGAATCACAAAGAGAAAATTTTTTAAGTCATATAGCTGGGAACACTGCTGCAATGCTCTGTTATATGTATATTGTTCAACTTACATATATTCGTAATCTGTTTATTTATTTTTTTCTTCAATATTAAATACAAATTCCAATATGCAGTATGTATATAAAAGGTGAACTTAATCTTGTTAGACGATTTTGGGTAAACATAAACGAACTTTACTGGTCCCATTTAGTAGTTGACAATTTTCGACGTTTGCCTTGTTTCGCCAAAGAGAAATGAACAGATTCTATCCAACGCGAAAGCTGCTATGGTATCCGCTAATAAAACCAACACAAGCGTGTTGCGAAACTGAAATTATAAAAAATTATATACTTAAATACATACATACATATGTACATATTCAAAAACTTATGAACATATCGTTAGCTTAGAGTGAAAATTTGTTAAATCCAGTTTTCGAAATTTAACAGGAGAGATTAAAAGCTTCCCAACTCAATTTCTTTAAATATTTTGCAAAACTTTGATTACAAAATTTTTGTGCGTTAAAGCAAAATATAACTTTCATACAAACGGGTAGACTTAGACACAGTGTCCGTTTTTAATTTCATCGAAATTCAAATCACCCTGTAATTTCACACACCCAACCTTCACTAAAATGCGTTCTCGTATAGTATGTATACTTAACTAAATCGATATGACTTTTCGAAAAGGTAGCAAGATTAATAAAAGCCATTTTCAAACTAAAGCTTTCACAAATCTCTTGTGGGCACTCATATTTTAATATTTCATAAAAATTGTGTAAAAATTAAGGCAATTCGACTTTTCAAAACAGGAGGAAGTCCGCTTAGAAAGTATTTTCAAACTAAAATCTTAAATTACTTTTATACCTATCTTTTAAAAATTCATCCAACTTATGAAATGATGTTAATGTCGTTTTTTAAACACCTGGCAACTCCAATCAAACATTCCAAATGTTCAAACTAAAGGTTTCTCAACCCTGTTTCGCTTGACACCCGTAATTTAATTTTTCATATAACCTGTGTACAAATTAATGAAACTCGACCTCTCAAACAGGTGGCACCCCTCTTTAAAAGTAGTTTAAATATAAAAGCCTTCATAAATAACCTTTATCTGACATTGTGACATATATTTTAATTAACTGATAATTTTAATTGAATTTAATTTTTTAAACATGTGGCAACCCCAAAAATATAGTTCAGAAATAAAGCCTTTTCAAACCCATTTCAATTGATGCCAATATTTAAATAATTAATTTAACTTATCAAATAATTAATTTAACTTATTAAATAATTAATTTAACTTATTAAATAATTTGAATTGAACTTTTTAAACGGATGGTAACCCTATTTAAATAACTCAAAAATATTCTTAGTGTTCGTTAACACTCTTTCGTTTGATATATTTTAGTACTTCAATGTGTATAAGTTAACTAAATTCGACTTTTAAAACAGGTGGCAACCCCCTTACATGTAGTTTTCAAAACCATTTCCATCGATATTGTACTAATTGATTTAACTTTTTCGATTATTGGTATTTAATTTTTTATAAGATGGCAACTCTTTTTGAGAAAATAAGAAGTTATTGCACATCGACAGGCCGAGCCCTTTAACTTGATACCTCATTTTGTAAAATCGAACGAACGGTGATGGCTTTGATTGTTGAATAATTTGAATTGAATTTTTATAAGGTGGCAACTCTTTTCGAAAAAGTAAAACCTTACTGCACATCTACAGCCCAAGTCCTTAAATTTGACACAGCCTTTTGAAAATCGAACGAAAAAATCCCTTCGCGGATTATATATATATAGATGAATACCAATGATTTGGAAGGTACTGGGCTGAAAAAGCTGTACTCGCAATCGGAACGCAGTCGACACCACTGTCGATATAGGAAATCCGACAGTGACTACAACAAAGAAATTCAAGCGTATGTGAAAGAAGGTCAGAATAAGAAGAAATATACGTATAGGTCCAGTTTTGTTTTCCACTTGAAATAATTTAGAAAACAATTATTATGTTCGAAATGCAACCATGGACACTAGCTGGCAGTGAAGCTTGCAAATTCCTGTTCGCGCTAAACTTTGTAAGTTTCTCTCTTTGGGAGAGTAAGATCCCTTATTCTCTGAATTTTGTTACAGGCCAATTCTTACTGGCTTTGTGATTAACAAAAAAGAAAAACTGGCTATAACATGCTAAATCAAATAAAATAAATTTTCAAAATGGACTCCAATTTTAGTAATAATGTAATAAAAAATTAGTTTTATTTGGTGGTCTTCAAGCGCTTTGTGGGCAACAAAAGTTTTCAATTTAGAGTTTGTGGACTGAGAATAATGTTGCACTTTTTGAATAATGGGCTTTTTTCTGAGAAACTTCAACGTGTGTTTTACCGTGCTTTTCAGCTAAGATGCCAAAAAAAAACAGCCGTTTTAAGCTTTTTGCTGCAAAATGTTATTAAAGGAGTGTACCCCGAAGAATATAACACCTATATACATACGTATTTAAAGGAAAGAGCAAGAATGATATGCATACAGTACATAGGTGAAAAATGTTATCTTATTTTTTTAACTTTATACCTAGCCTAATTATAAGTAATATGAAATGAAAATATACTTGTTGTGCTAGTGTCTTTTCAAATAAATAATTAAGCACAAAATTGTACAAACAAAACACAAATATAAACTCTCGTGAAACTGAACTTAAATTTATTTCTTTTTGCTCCAAATCCGATAACCCTACATTGGACCCGCATTTTGAATTTAAACAAATCTGACATCGCCACCTCGAAGACCCGAACTCGAAAAAAAATATAGAAAAAGTTTTTTTTCTTAACCGCGGTCGCCCTAAATTTTTTTCTTTTCTTACAAAATCGCAAAATTGTGGGTTGGCTCTTTTCATGAAACTTGTTCTAATATGATTTGTGGAAATTCAAACTAAAAATGTTTTTCTTTAAATTGTAATTAAAAAAAAAATTACTTGAATGTAATGTTAGACTTGCTGTGTGAAATTAGAATGCGATTTTTGTTTTTTTTTGTTTGCTTTTTGGAAGTAATTAACAGACTTGAAAAATTGATTAAAAAGGAACAGTCCAGCGCCTTCGTCTTGGTCTGCAGGCTGTATCGGAGATACAGCCGCTAAATTTAAACGTAGAATACGTCGTATGGTTAAGAGCATATCCAAGTCAAAAACGAAAGCACACACTAAGAAAAAAATATCGATAACAAAAGCGATAGTAATATCGATATCAATATCGATAATAATATCGATAACAAAATCGATAGCAAACTCGATAACAAAATCGATAAAAATATTGATAACAAAATTAATAAAAATATCGATTACAAGATCTATCAAAAAATGGATTACAAAATCGATTACAAAGTCGATAACAAAATCGACAAGTATATCGACATCAAAAGTGATAACAACATCGATAGCAAAATCGATAAAAATATCGATAGTAAAACTGATAAAAATATCGATAACAAAAGCGATAACAATATCGATTAAAAATATCGGTAACAAAACCGATAAAAGTATTGATGACAAAATCGATAAAAATATCGACAACAAAATCGATAGCAAAATCGATAACAAAATCGATAAAAATATCGTTAAATAATCGATAATAAAATCGATAACAACGTGGATAACAATATCCATAACAAAATCAATCAAAATATCGATAACAAAATCGATAAAAATATCGACCATTATATCGATAAGTTCCGAAAATATCGATAGCAAAATCAATAACAGTATCGATATCAATTTCGATAACAAAATCGATAAAAATATCGATCACAAAACCCACAAAATATCGGTTATTATATCTATAAGTCCCGAGAATCCCGAAAATCGCTAAAATCCCGAAATAGTTCCCAGATTGAGTCTCTGTGCCTCTATCTATATCCTTTTCTCTACAACTACCTTTATTTTAATCTTCCTTCCTCTATCTTCATTTATACTTTTATCGGTATCCTCATCCTCATCTTTTTCTTTATATGTATTTATCTTTGTTTTTATTTTTATGTTTATCATATTTTTTATTCCCCTTCACCTTTGCCCTTATATATAAAAGTAAAGTGTTTAAATTTCCTTTGTTCTTAATTTTTGGCTTTATCTTTGCGGAACTTTGTTTTTGTTTTTATTTTTACCTTTGCCTTTATCCTTTTCTTTATCAATGTACGTACTCACCTTTACTTTTATTCTTCGATTGGTTTTTTTCTAAGTGTTGCTTCACTTCAAAAAGTTTTCGTGTATATATATTAGTATAAAAAATAGAAACAGATCCACATTAACTGCAATCAACATATGTACATACGCTGTGATTAGGTTATAAATATTGCTCCATTTGTTAATCAAAGCCGAAATATGTACTTACGCACACATACATACTTTTTGTCTCCTTCCCACACTTCCAATGCATGCACGTGTTTGCAAAATGATGACGAGGTGATTTTGTATGGAAAATCATTTATGCCCATATATTTGAATAAAATAAACATATATAGAAGATATCAACCAATACTTCCCATATACCAAACGAAAGGAAAACTCTTGAATTTTTGATTAAAGAAAACAAAAACAAAATCATTTGAGCGGTTTTCGAGCATTTTGGTAATGAAAAAAATTTGCAAATTTTTTCAACAATTTTAAAATGCTCAATATTTGTTAAATTTATATAAAATTTGTACCCGATAATATTTCTACTGCTCCAAAGAACCTATATCCCGAAAATGAAAGTTATATATGCCAACAATAAGTTGCTAGAGCACTTTAAAGGCTCAAAATTTACCCCAAAATAAGGCAATGTTTACCGTTGTT